ATACTTAGCGTCCTGTGATTATTCCGCACATTTGATGGTGCTACATAACCTTCCCGGTTTGGTACCTTCTTGCGATAATTACTTACATACCAACTATTTACGGTCCACGACGAACGACCCACCAGGGCTGTTAGTGGGGGGGGGGATGGGGCACTTGTCACAACAAGCGTAAAATCAATCTCTCACACTCACACTCATACATACATACATACATATTGCCTCCAGTAGTAACAAATGAACTAGATTACAGGAGGAAGTAAGGGCTTGTATAGTGTGGGCTTCAACGACACCTGTGTATGGTAAGGTGCACAGCGTACACCTGGCTCCTACCTCTCCCTCAAGTGTCATCAAGGCTCTTGTTGTTACCTGGGGTCAAGTGCACCACAGATCCTTAGGCAGCCAAGAACCCGCCATAGTCAACAGAAAACACAAGTTACCTCACAGGTTGAGGGATGAAATAGTCATGTTGGTGTTGACTATGGCTGGCAGCGTGGCCTGCCGACCCTCACCCATGTTTTTGTGTGGGTTGACACGGGGGGCGCCGCTCCCCACACTGCCCCCCTGCCTCCACACACTCCTCACTCAACCAAACTGCGAAGAAAACGGGGGCAGTCGGAACAGTCTCAACAAGGCAGTTGAAGCAACCCGTCCTCGACTCGAGTCCATTCCATCCAGCGGTCGACCCCACAGACGCATTCATAAATTTTTACATGCTGTTCATTCAAAACGGGAATTTTCTCAAATATAAATTAATATTATAATAGCATATTGTTAATATATAGACATAGGTTAGGTGTTTAGGTTCTGTTGGCGATTATTTGTATTTGTAGTACGTGGGTGAAGCATTTACAGCGTTGTGGTTCGAACAAAATTCGTCAGTGAAGCACTTGTTCCGGAAGTGTTCGAACGTCAGCAGTTGAGTCGTGTGTAAACCGTTCTTCATTCATAAACATGGGGTTTGGCGGGTGGATGGAATGAACTTTTGGGTCTTTGTTTTGAGGACGGGCTGGATTCTAACTGAAATCTTCACGAAGCCTTTTCGTGCTCACAAATACAGTTGTGCAGCCCGTCCTCCAAACAAAGATCCAAAAGTGATTCCATGCACCCGCCAAACCCCCTATTTATGAATGAAAAGCGGTTTACACACGACTCACAACTGCTGACGTTCGAACATATCCGGAACAAGTGCTTCACTGACGAATTTTGTTCGAACCACAACGCTGTAAATGCTTCACCCACGTACTACAAATACAAATAATCGCCAACAGAACCTAAACACCTAACCTAACCTATGCCTATATATACACAATATGCCAATATATTATAATATTAATTTATACTTGCGAAAATTCCCGTTTTGAATGAACAGCATGTTAAAATTTATGAATGCGTCTGTGGGGTTGACCGCTGAATGTAATGGAGTCGAGGATGGGTTGAAATGCTTCACCTACGTACTACAAATACAAATAATCGCCAACAGAACCTAAACACTTAACCTATGCCTATATATGCACAATATGCTAATATATTAAAATATTCATTGATATTTGCTTCAATAAAAGCCGTTTTCTGATGGTCAAAGCTGCTTTTACAGGTTAGACTGTATTAGTTTAGGATAGATCGTGTTAGGGGGAGTAAGTTAGGTTAGATAGATTTTGAAATCCGTTGGCGAACCGTTTTGCGTACGATATGGTGTGGTTAGGTTAGGTGTTTGTGGCGTGGGTGGTGGTAGGAAATTGTTAGTCGGCTGAGGATTGGTGGAAGCTGAGTCGTAATGATTGATTGATGAAGATTAAGCCACCCAAGAGGTGACACGGGCATGAATAGCCCGAAAGGCTGAGTCGTAGTGGCAGGCGATGATAGTGGAGTTAGCGTAGGGATTATCGCAGCGTATTCGTAGCCTAGGCTACGAATAATAATAATCCTATTAATCCTAGGATTAGCTGCGGGGAAAGGGCCTGGTAGGATCAGGGTGGTGCTTGTGTTGGGGGGGAGTGGGGAGGGGATAATGGAGGGGGTGTGGTGGTGGTGGTGGTGGTGGTGGTAGCAGGTTTAGTTTAATACGGGAAGGAGGGGGTTGATAGGTTAGGTTAGGTGTCGGAAAGGGTTAGTTTTGGGGGAACTGGATATGGGTGGGGGGGGGGTAGGGCAGTGGGTGGAAAGTTGAAGTGATGTATTGTGGGCAGTGGTGGAGAAACTAGTGGGGGGTGGAGGTGGGGGTGACATCGGGTGGTTAATATTTGATGACCGGCGAGCAAGACGGGTTTGCTTGCCTGAGTCCTCCTCCGTCTGCCACAATGTCTGCAGGCTGTCTGCTCAACTGTCTGCGTCGCACAGATTGCCTGTCTATCATTGCTCAGGGCGTTTTGATGAATTGCCTGTCTGCTGACTGAAGGTCGCTTTAAATGACTGTCAGTCTTAATGTCTTCCTGTGTGTGTGTGTGTGTGTGTGTGTGTGTGTGTGTGTGTGTGTGTGTGTGTGTGTGTGTGTGTGTGTGTGTGTGTAACTACCTGTCTGCTTACTGGAGTAATTGTGTGTGTGTGCCATTTTTCAGTCTCTCATCTCAACAACAACCACCACCACCACCACTCCTGGACTCTGGTCTAAACCATTACCCACAGCAACCACAGTCAACGTTTAAATGTCCCCCCCCCCCCCAACAATGCGTTCCCCACTAATAGCTGTTCTTTTCCTCGGTAACAAACAGGACCTAAAATGAGCAACGAGAAAGCAAATTGTTGTGTGAGTGAGCTGATCACAGTCCACTGAAACTTGTTTTTTCGTTGGTGCATTTCCTTTCACCTCACGCATCTCTTCACCTACTAGTAATTAATTATTTCCAGGCAGCTTCCTGGAGATGGTCAGTAGTTGACGTTAGATATACATAGACACGCCCTCGCACACATGACACACTGTACACATGACACTCGCCCCGTGACAAAAGCCGATAAGGAGGATTGAGTGAGAATGTATCCATAACCGTTGACCCATCTTTACTCAGCAGTGGTAGGAGACCTGTTAACTGATTGGCGGGTTGTATTTGAGGGGGACTTATGGGTAAGTCTTACCCTGAGCTACGAGAAGGGAAAGCTCTCAACCTGCTAGCAAGTCACAAGGCGAGAGAGAGAGAGTGAGAGTGCGCGAGAGGGGTGGGAGAGAGAGAGCGAGCCCGAGAGCAAGCATAGAGAGAGGAAAGGTGGTAGAAGTGTTTTGGCGGGAGGGGGAAAGCAGAGCCCATGTACAGCGGGACGGACCCTTCCCTTCTGTGATAGGCGCACCCGTCATGCCCCACAGGCTTGGGTGACGGTGAAGGTGCTCCGACAGATCAAGACCAGCCTAGACACTAGACAACCAGATGTTACCAAGAGGCTTCCACAGGCACTAGGACTGTGGAAGAAATATTGCCGGAACAACCGTGGACATTTTCAAGAGGAAACTAGATTTATTCCTCCAAGGAGTGCCGGACCAACCGGGCTGTGGTGGGTATGTGGGCCTGCGGGCCGCTCCAAGCAACAGCCTGGTGGACCAAACTCTCACAAGTCGAGCCTGGCCTCGGGCCGGGCTTGGGGAGTAGAAGAACTCCCAGAACCCCATCAACCAGGTATCAACCAGGACACCACCCCATGTCAACCATGAATGGTGTTCCAGAGGGTGGTGATGTACACCGGTGGTGGGCGCCACCCTTGCAGTAGCATCAACTAGGAAGGCTCGCATATAATAGCCTATGAAAACTGAACGGCAGGGCAGTCAGTCTTCTCTTAATACGTCGCATTTTTTAACGATCAACCAATCTGGTCCAAAATACGGCAAATTAGAAAGCAATGGAAAAAGCACCGTAATATTGATGCTTTCTGTGCATCAGCCTCGATAGGTTAGAGGGGGTTGATTGGGTTCGTACGTTCATAGTTAGGGGGAAAAAATGCATTTTTCACGAAGTAGTAAATGGAGAGAACGCGCTGTGGAAACGCGCGAACGTGAAAACCGTGACAGCACCACCGTGACAGCTTCACCATCACAGTACCACCGTGACACCACCACGCAACACACCTGGAGACATTTACAACTGGTGTAGACTACGTTCTTGTCATACACGGCCACAAGATGAGAAGCGGCAGGTGGAAGCTTAGATGTCAATAGTGATATAGGGAAGTATTATTACGACTGTCTTAAGGGAAGGATTGTGAGCAAGTAGATGCGGTAGAGGGAACGATTGTAGAGGCTAATTCCATACTAAACTAAAAGGCTGTGTCCAGGAGCTGGAGCATAATCCCCCCCCCCCCTCTTATCACAGGTGTCTATGGAGGGAGAGATAGATATACGGACATACTACATAATTACACAGGCGGGGTTGAGAGAAACAACAATTTGCAGTCTTGTACTCCTGGTTCTCCAGCATTGTGGGTCGACTGTACCGGCCTCCTCTCCCCCCCCCCCCTGTCTCTGTCTGTATCTGTGTCTTTATCTATTTAGCTATCTATCCATCTATCCATCTTTCGCGCGCGCTTTATTTTTTTTTATTTATTTAACCATGCTGTCTTCCTTTGTCTCCTTTACTTTGGGTGAGAGGTGTGTGGAATTTGGTGTTTTGGGCGGGTGTGTGGGGGCGCTGTGTGGGGCGGAGCGTGATGTGTGGTTTTGCCACTTCCATTGGGTTTCTTGTGAACTTTTCACTGTGATCATTAAAACTGTCATGAGAAGAGTGGGGGAGGTGGAGAATATGCATAACTGCCTCTGGCTTTCAGCCTCCCCATCCCACCCTGAAGCCTAGGAATGTTAATTTAAGGAGGGTGTTTAGGGATATTCAGGGGTGCCTCAACTTAATTTGTAACCTAGGGAAGTTAATGCGTCTAAGTCTCTCTAACGCTATTTTGTTTAATTATTATTATTGTGCAGACAATTGATAGGCTACGTGGTATGTATCGCCAGTACCTCTTCGTAATTTTGTTTTTTATTTTGTAACAAAAAACACGTATGTATGATCTTAACAGTAAGCTTTCTGTTGACAGTATTATAGTTTCTATGATGAAATGTCTCCTGCAGGTCTAGAGGTGCCCCTTCGGTCGCCCTTATAAAAATGACGCAAGATATAGTTGGGTTTGTAATTGCAGTGATGCGTATACTTGCAGGCAGCCTTCCAGTGGGTGAACCCGCTGTCCATGCGTCACCTGCGGAACAGGCGTTCTCACCACACCCATATTGTCAAGGTCAGGACACCCCACCTCGGCTCAGTCTGTTCCCTTACACTACCTTACTTAGAACGGTCCGCCAAGGGGGGCTTTAAAACCTACTTTAACCTTTCTCGGACCATGAAAAGCAAATGAGCGTAGCCTAGCCCAAGCTAATATGGTGTAATCTAAGTACATGTTCTTGCCTCAGTTAGTGTAAGCTATACCTAGGTTCTAATAAACTGTTCATTTATGTATAGCTCTGTTCTAGTAACATTTTTGGTTGTTAAAAGACTGCAGCCATTATGGTGTTTAAGACCATGTTCGGTCAGTGTTTTATGCAGTGATTTTTCCTTTTCTCATCTCATTGATCCTTCACCTCGCTTATTAACACAAAATAGTGTAATAGGCAGAAAAAAATCAATTACTCTAACTGTACTTTTGTTATTTTTAATCCACAATTTAAATGATTATGTATTTGAGTTGATTAACGTTGACATTTGCGCAGGGGGAGCTGGAGGAGGTGGAGGCTGTGAGGCGGACCTACCACGTGGCCAAGAGGAAGTCGAGTATGGGGCACGCTGTACCCGCCACACCCGCCACTCCCCCCAGCATGGCTTCTCCGCCCTCCTCCGATGATGACGAGATCATCCACCGCGAGCACGACGAGAGAGAGCCGGCACAACACCCAGAGCAGCCTCGGGAGGAACAAGGTGGTGGTGGTGGTGTGGTAGGAGAGGAGGGCACAGCCCCTCCATCACCATCACATAGGGAAAGGCCAGAGGAAACATTAGAAAACGAATCTTGATGGGATTTTGTCGGCATATAATTTGAATGCCTATAAAACTATACAAGTATTTGCGCATACTATTACTAATAAGTTAGCTATTACCAAACAGCACTGATTAGAAAGCTCTCTAGTTGATTTCTTTTGCTCGCATAACATGTGAAAATTCTCTAGCCAATTCACCTAAGTGATAGTCTAGCTTAATGCACTATTGACACAACCAGTTCCTGCATTTTACCATTCCTTCCATAGACTTGCATATAGTTCCTTTACAGTACCTTAACATTGAAACATTAAAGATGATCACTTCTATTGAAGGAGAGTTAAGTTGTTTATAAATATGCGTGGCCTTGCTAGTAAAGTTGTACTTGAAATTGAAGATGAGAACTACATCAATAGTATATGTTGACTGAAGAGGCGAATACCTCATCCAGAAACATGGTGGATGATTAACTAGACGGGAGACCTCAACATCATAGCTCACTAAGATAACAAACATAAAGGAATAGCATCCAGCTTTCTGCCAGTTTTCTTTTTGATATGTACATACTTTACTGTGTGTGTGTGGTTTAATTACAGCATAATAATACATAATGCAGATCTAATGAAATATTTATAATTATATGGCACCAACACTGAACTATTTTTGCCATGTTGAAGAGTTTTCCCTGAGTGATCAGTGTTCCTGTTCATTCATATACTGTATCTTATTACATTGAATATTGCTTTATCATTAATTAATGCTTCAGCATTCTGTATATAGAACATTAGGAGAGTAGAACATATAGTGAACATTTGGGAAGTAGAAGAACTCCCAGAACCCCATCCAGCTGGTATACTTGCTTTCACTTGGATGGAGTAAGACCTCGTAAATAGTATTTGACAGCTTTGGTCTCCTAGTACTGTTGGCATTGTTTCGTGTCTCATATTCGGGGATCCCATGTTCAATTCCCCCGGCGGAACAGAAATGGTTGGATACATTTCCTTTCACCTAATGCCTCTGTTCACCTTGCAGTCAATAGGTACCCAGGAGTTAGGCAATAGTTAAGGGATTGCATCCTGAGTAGGTCAGTAGTCCGACCTCGGTGGTGGCCTCAGTACAAGCCTGAAGTACAGTACAGTATATATATATACACACACACTAACATTTTTCTATGCTAGTGTATACACAGCCTATATTCACAGGCTTCCTATATCCTTGATAAAATTAATTATTATTAAATGCAGTCCAGTATTACTTTTATCAAATTAAATTGATCACACTTTTTCCTACTGTACCTTGCTAAAATTTACTTTTAGCAAGACATTTTTTAATATGTTTCTGCTGATTAGGAATACATCTTACTTTACAAAATCAATATGTCATCCTTAGAGTTCAAAAATACAGGTTCAAGTCATGATCAGCATGGGGTCCACACCAAAGTATTAATATTATGATAATTGTGTGCAAGATATAATAGATTTGGGTCTGCTGCAGAGTCTAGGTACCCTGGAAACACAAACCGAAACCGTCTCTATTTTCCGCTTGTTACAACTTGTAATAAAGTTGTTACATTTTGGCTTAACGTATTTATGACGTATTAGAACGTTGTTACAACTTGCTATATTGGTTGTTATAACTGGTTAGGAAGTGTTAAAACTTGTTCGAACGTTGTACCAACGTCGTAGTTTCGGTGTGTGTTTGGCGGGTAATGAGGATCAATAACATGACTGTCACAACAGTCTTTGTCCCCTGGGGTTGCACAGGCTAGGATGGCTGCCTTTATTATGAAAGACTTGTCTATACAGAAAAATACCAAGATGAAAGCTTTCTTTTTAATGATGATTCACCTGCTAGGGCTTTTCCCTGTCAATATGTCGTCTAAAAGTGAACTTTGCTGTCATCGTGTTTCTCTAATTTGTTGTTGGCTATTTGTGGTCTTTTATAACTGATTAGACTTGTAGTATAGCATTTGTGTTAAGTGATGGGGTGATTCCAAAGTGCCTAATCTGTGTGCATCATCCTGTCGTCGCGCACAGTAATTGCTTTCACACCTACATAGTAGGTTGATGCCCATGACATTAGACAATACTGAAAATTTGATATTTTTTTTTATTTTTTTCATTGGTGTATATTTTCAAATAGTCTTTCCACATCAATGATAAAATCTCCAGAATTTGTGTTGCAAATTTATTGCAAGGCAAGTACTATATTTTTCTACAAGTGTCCATGTAACAAATTATGGAATGGTTTGTTTAATATTCCAATCAAAATTATGCTTTTTTTTTTTTTTTACCTCCATGAACAAGTTGTCAAACAGGATTAGTGTTAGCCTGGAAACAGGTTTTATTTTCTGTAATGTTGGTTTGCTTCCTTTCACTAACCCTCCAGCAAATTGTATTTGTTCTGTAGTTCTTTCATTCAACTACTGTCAAGGAGTTTCCTTACCCTTTCTTTATCCTTTCATTCTTCTATATCATAACTTGCCACATAATTTATCTCTGATTGATTGTGTTTACTTTCAACACAATGAGACATAAAACAAATTTAAAGATTTAACATAATTTAACTTTAATTTTGTTTATTTAAATAATACATTAGAGGGTATTGTGGGTGCAAATGCCAGGCAGGTACAGCTCTTTGGGAAATGATGTCATTTATAAGTTAATCATATTTTCTTATTTTGCTTTAAATTAAGTCTTCCTTTTTAGTTTTATTCTACATCGTTGTGATGGAGTGAAACAAACATAAATTTATGAGAAAATCTTTGGAGCAAGGTGGTGGAGTCGACTCCGTATCCTTGATCACTCCAGATGCACCTCTTTGGACCATCTGGGGTGACCTAGGCCGTATCCTCGATCACTCCAGATGCACCTCTTTGGACCAGACCTAGGCCGTATCCTCGATCACTCCAGATGCACCTCTTTGGACCATCAGGGGTGACCTAGGCCGTATCCTCGATCACTCCAGATGCACCTCTTTGGACCATCTGGGGTGACCTAGGCCGTATCCTCGATCACTCCAGATGCACCTCTTTGGACCATCTGGGGTGACCTAGGCCGTATCCTCGATCACTCCAGATGCACCTCTTTGGACCATCAGGGGTGACCTAGGCCGTATCCTCGATCACTCCAGATGCACCTCTTTGGACCATCTGGGGGTGACCTAGGCCGTATCCTCGATCACTCCAGATGCACCTCTTTGGACCATCAGGGGTGACCTAGGCCGTATCCTCGATCACTCCAGATGCACCTCTTTGGACCATCTGGGGGTGACCTAGGTTGCAGATTCGATCCCACTGTCCTGCTCCAAAGATATTCTCATTGATATATGAAGATATATGAGAAAGCTATTGAAAGCTTATATGAGAAATGTGTGTATTTATATACTTGGAATGTATATATTAATGTATATGTATACATATACACAATGTGTATATTTATTTCATATGCAGGTATATGATAGCTAATTGAGAGAGCTACCATCCCAAAGATATTGGTATTTCAGTGTGTAAACATAGATTTGTTTGACTTGGAATTCAGGCAATCAAGATAGCATCTCTCTGTGGTTTGGACATTCCAGGTAATTACAAGAGCTTGCCTAATGGAACAATTATGGTTGTACCATTATGCTTATGTTAACCCTTCAATTACATTATTGCTTTCATCTTAAGAATTTAATATAAACAAGATATGCAAATGGTTATGCAAGTTGCTCTAATTGATAAAATATGAATAGCGTAGTATTTGAAAAATTATACATGATATTTTATGTATTACATCAGAGCTACATCATTGTGTGTATTATAGTCTTTCCTTTCATGGCTGATGCTTCCATTAATAAGTGTGTCACTTGCCGTATGTAGTACATTAGTGTGATTCTTTAAACCAGGTCATTTTATCCTGTTGTTTAGGAATTAGACTTAAGAAAAGTTAATTATTTGTATTCCAGATTCTGGTTAACTGTTGTTTTAGCTTGGAAATAATTATTACTGTATTTGTATTGAAAACATTGCTTGTATGTTAAATTCTCATTGTGTGAATAGATTGTTTTCCAAGTTAAAATACATCTCATTGTGTTTATTGTAAAAATTATAATGAATCTTTTTATTGTATTGCCTCAAGGGAGGCCTGAATGTATTTTTGTAAATTCTCAACAATATTGCCACTTACACAAAACGTTTGACAATGATATTACACATATTACTAGTCCAAGTATAATGATGAAATGGTTATTGCACTCAAGACTCTTCATGTACTGTATCTTGACCCATCAGGGTTGGTTTTTATACAATAATAGGTTTTTTTGGTTTTTATTCAAACACTGTAACTAGTAAGAGTTGATATGTACAATTTGCTGCAAGTGTTGTTAGTTCCAATTTTTATGGCATGGACAAATGATTTAAGAGTACAGTACTGTAGTTGTATCCACTTAAAATTTTATGTGACATTCACATTTCTAGTTTAGGTTCTTGCTCAAATGAAGCAACAGTATTACTGTATGTTTTATGAAGAAGAAAGTACATACCGGTATTATGTCCCCAGATGGAATGGGAAAGAGACCAATGGTGAAACAGGGGTTAGATTCACAAAAAAGTTATGCAAACACCTACGAATCTGAATATCTTTTCTCAATTTTTGGCTGCTTTGTTTACAATTATTAAACAGTTAATGAGCTCCGAAGCATCAGGAGGCTGTTTATAACAATAACAATAGTTGGTTGGCCAGTTTTCATGCTTGTAAACTGTATAATAAATGTAACCAAAGCCATCAAAGATTGACGAATGGTGTACACGTTCGTAAGTACTTGCGTAACCGCTTCGTGAATCTGGCCTCAGGAGAAGATGAGAAGCACAATATAACCACAGGGTGGAAGGTTACCTATAGTATACGGTCACCTCAAATGGAAGCTCACTTCAAGTTTTGTAAGAACAAATGCATTAGTGTGCATCTGATGGTGTATCTCATAAAGTTGTCACCGAAGATTTATATCATGCTTTGGGTTGTTCTTATTTTTTTTTCATAGTGTTTGCTCATACTTTGAAACATTCCCAGATATTAAAGCTTTCCCAGTTATTTTTAGTTTATACCATGAAAGGTATGTTATTTTAAGAACAGTATTTCCTTTTGTGTTGGGTGGTGGAAAATACTTTAGTTCTATGCTAACAATAAAGTTAGTACACACATAAGATGTTAAATGACATTTTTAAACACCATATTATATTATTCTTGCTAGTCATGGCATGTGCACATTGCATTTGTTGGCATTTTAACACTCAGTGAAACTCTGATTAGCAGAGGTTAATAATATTGTATGTTGATTATGTGCTTCTGTAGTCATAGTTTTAATGTAGAAATTTGTTATTCATCAACTTAATTGCTGTTGAAATTAAATATGAATCTCATGTGTAGATGCATAATATTTTGTTGATTGACATAAATTTAATATACTGTATGCAGAGAATAAGTCACAATAGCATGGCTGAAAATTAAGACACCCGACCCACAAATCTGAAAATAAAGAAATTAACAATGTTTCAGTCCATCCTGGACCAATATCACATAGACCAAAACAGCGTCAATTCTTCCCTTTCAGATTTGTGGGTTGGGTGCCTAATCTATTGTAGTTTTAAGTTATTGGAAACTTTCTTAAAAACTGATTCTGCTCGATCAAAGCCTTGTAGTAAACTGATCAACTGCTGTAATTACAAATGCATAGGATGTAATCCAAAAATATAATTTCTTGTGCATTATTTCTTCAGCCCGTCCTCCTAAGGTTTCCCAATGTCAAAAAACTGTCGTACTAAAGTGCCCTTACGCTAACCTACCAGAGGACCCAAAATAGGAAATGGGACAGTACTGTATGTCAATTTCGTGAGCTGCTTCCATTGTCTAGTACAACAATTTTTGGCCTTGGGTAGAGTATGCGTCAAAATGAGACGCTCTGTTAGGAGGACGGGCTGATTTCTCTTGGGAGCAACACTTTATGAAGTTGCAGGAGATCGTCTCCTTTGCAGGGTTGGCCTCATACAAATTCTTTCCAGATATTCTAGTTACTGTATCTTTAAATGTAAAATAAGTAGGTTAATGGCATAATATGGTTAATGGTAGTAGGTTAAAGACATAATATGGTTAATGGCATAATATGTTAAATTTGCCCTCTTCACTTGTATTATGATACATTTAATATCAGTACTCTACATTTTTTTTTTTTTTTTTTGGTATGTTGAATGCAAATATAATTATACAAATAATACTGCATTGGAAACACACCTTCAAAAAGACATGAGTGCTTTGTAGAAAGTTTAGTGCACAGCAGCAAAAATGAACTCCATGTCTACAAGGGGAAATGGCTTCAAGCTCTATCATACAATGTAGGATAAACAATATGAAAAGCATTTTCACCATGAAATTGCTAACTTGTCAAAGCTGTAAATGCAAAAACAGTCCCACTCAAAGTTTGGAAAAATTTCTCAATGACATCAGAGGGACATGAACAAATCCACAAGGTCCGTGACGAGAGTTCGAACCTACGTCCAAGAGGATCCCAGACGCTGCCTTAATCGACTGAGCTACGACATGGTTAAAAGAATTGCAACCGGGAAATCGTCCTGATTTACTCACGGTGCCTGCAGTCTTTCTGAGACACAAACCAGGGTTTTACGCAATTCCCCCATGCACCCGAGCTATGTCAATAAGTTGTTCTACCTCTTCGCCCTCACTTCATTACACACAGAAATCACAATAGCATGATGCATCAAATGAACAAATCCACAAGGGCCGTGACAATGGTTTGAACCTAAGTCCGAGAGGATCGCTCTTGGGTGCATGGGGAAATTGGATCCCTCTGGTGCATGGGGGAATTGGATCCCTCTGGTGCATGGGGAAATTGGATCCCTCTGGTGCATGGGGAAATTGGATCCCTCTGGTGCATGGGGGAATTGGATCCCTCTGGTGCATGGGGGAATTGGATCCCTCTGGTGCATGGGGGAATTGCGTAAAACCCTGGTTTGTGTCTCGGAGAAACTTCAGGAACCGTTGGTAAATTGGGATGATTTCCTGGCTGCAATTCTTACAATGTAATGTAATGTAGCTCAGTCGATTAAGGCAGCGTCTGGGATCCTGTCGGACATACGTTCGAACCCTCGTCACGGCCCTTGTGGATTTGTTGAATTGATGCATCACGCTATTGTGATTTCTGTGTGTAACAGAGGGACATTTGACAAGCCAATGGCTTTATGGTCCCCCCCATCAAGGCCACTGGAGATGATGGCTAAATTCAGGTTAATGTAGACATAAACAATGTGTACGTGCACTCAAGTCCAACTTGTAAAGCACAGCACCTAAACTATTGGGGTCACCTCAAAGCTCTCAAAATATACTCTCTAGAAAGGAGATGAGAAAGAATCAAATTATATATACAGTATAGCAAATGGGAAAACACTGGAGGGCCAGGTCTCAAATTTGCACAGTAAAATAACAACATAATGGAGTGAATGATATGGAAGGAAATGCAAAATAGAGCCAGTGAAGAGTAGAGGTGTCATAGGCACAATCAGAGAATACTGCGTGAACATCAAGAGGGCCATGGTTGCTCAAATGTCCTCCCAGCAAATGTAAGAAATAATGCCGTAATAAAAGTGAAAGTCTTCAAGAAAAAACTGAACAGTTTTCTGCAAGAAATGCCAGACCAATGAAGCCGTAG